TTCATTTATTTATTAAACCAATCAGAAGGTGCCTAGGCAGGCAAGATAAAACAGCAACACATTTTTACACATTGTAATCAAATATTCCACAACATTGCTCCAAAAATCCCAAAGGTCTCTTCTGTGATTCACCTATAGGGGCCTGCCAAAGGCTCCAAACAGCATCTCTATCTGCCACTGACACCTGAAATATCATCAGGTCTTATGGATAATGTGATCCAAGTGGTAGAACAGCCTGCACAGCAGCCCATACCTATTGAAGAGTTTTTGTTCCAGGCCCCACACAAAGCTAGCAGCTTTCTGAGTCACTTGGTATTTGAGTCAGAATAACACACCAACTGAGCAATATGCTGTCTCCAGAATCCAAATAGGCCCACTATATGTTGTGCTTCTTTCTTGGTGGTGGGAAAGGCCAGGTACAATAACTTATTCTTCAGCTTGGAAGGAATATCTCTGCATGGTCCATAACTCTGGACTCCTAAGAATTTTATTGAGGTAGAAAGCCCTTGAATTTTGGTTGGATTTATTTCTCATCCTCTGATGTGCATATGCATTACTAATGAGCCCAAAGTGATTGCTACCTCCTGCTCATTTGGTCCAGTAAGTATAATGTCATCAGTATTGTGCACCAATGTGATATTTTGTGAAAGAGACAGATGATCAATATCCCTTGTATGACACAGGGCAGGAGAATATAGTGATATTTTATTTGTACTGAAATGTGATTTGTATGTTAATAAATAAACTTGCCCGGGGGTCAGAGCTATTAGCAAGCCATAGCAAAAGCTGGCCGGTGGTAGTGCATGCCTTTAATCCCAGCACTTGGTAGGCAGAGCTAGGTAGATATCTGTGTGTTCAAGGATACAGCCAGCATTGGAGACACATGCCTTTAATCTCAATACCAACCATAGAAGACCTGGAGGTCTGTACAGGCAGGCAGTGACTAGGAGGTCATGTGGTTGGGTTTACAACCAATGAGGAGGCAGAACAGAAACTCTGAAAAAAAAAAAAACAGACACAGGAAGTAGGTCTCTTTCGGAGAGGTACAGTGACAGTGAAGGGTAAGATTTTTAGCTCTTAGCTATTGCTCTGACCTCTTGGCTTTCATCTCTGTATTGGCTCTGTGTTTCTTATTGAATAAGATGGTTACTTCTATGGGAGAATTAATATATCCTTGAGATAAAACTATAAAGGTATACTGCTAGCCTTGCCAACTGAAAGAAAATTGCTTCTGGTGGTCCTTATGGACAAATAATAATCAATAACTGCATGCTGTGTACCTGGAGATATGTTAATTTGCTCAGGTAAGGACACCACATCTGGTATAACAGCTACAATTGGAGTCACTATTTGATTGAGTGTTCAGTAGACAATTGTTATTCTCTACAATCCATGTCTTCTGCACTGACCAGATAAGAGAGTTAAAAGGAGATGTGGTGGAAACCACTGATAGGTTTTCTGTATCATGATAATAGGTTCCTCTGCTGACAAAGTAAGCCAGACCATGCCAAATTAAAAGAGTAAAATAACAGGTTTATTTGAGCAAAACACCACCCAGGTTGTTGCTTGATTCTAACAGCTCCCTCAGGGGAGGAGGTGAGAAGGCAGAGAAGGCAAGGCATCAGCATCACAGATACTGGAAGTCAGTTGAAGGCAAAAAACAAACTGGTTTATTTAATAATGGGGGGCAGCAGCAGGGGGGCCTTATATACCCTCCTCCCAGCACCCAGTCTGTGTTGCAATCTGGTGGCATTGTGTGGTCATCCTTCATTGGCTGAGCACAACCAGGAACTCATTGCTTGTTCCTAAGCCCTCAGGTAGACTCTGCAGGATCAGGAACTCTTGAAAATGACCAGGAACTCTGGACAGTGCCTGTTGCTAGGCCCTCAGGCAGATTCCAGGTTGGCTCATAAGGAAGTACATTATGTGCATGCCCTGGTAACTGGTCTGAGCCAATTTTCTTGACTCTATGGACCTGTCCTACTACACCGGGTGAGTCTTCCAGCCACAGATATCAGAGCCAGAGAAGTCACGCAGCCAAATTAAAGCAGGGAACTTATACCCTGTAGATGAGAGGTGATAACTTGTCCTCCACAAGATAGGTTTGTGCCCAAGTATGATCAAAAGCTAAGCACTTTAGGCAGGGACTTGGGCTGCTGGCAACTTCAGGGGAGGAGCTGCCATAGCTGCAAAGAATGCAGATCTGGGATTTTTGGCACCTTTTCTTTGTTGGAGATTCTCTGAGAGTGTGGGGTTTGGAGAGTGAGAGATGGGGCTTTCTGGATCGAACAAAATGAGCTGTAGGTTCTAGCTGAACAACCACCACCCCTGCATCTTTTAAGTCCTTCATGGTGACACTGATTTCTGCAGTTCCTCCAGGGATGTGATACTATTTTTGCTTGGCAGAGGTGACTCTAAAGGCTTCCATTTAGCCTTTCCAACTATAATAGTCTGTAGTGGGAATTTGGTCTGATAAGCCAATGGTATTGGGATGACTAAGCCCTATGGGCCTGGTCCTCTCTGGGTATGTGACTGGATAAGAACTGAGGATGAGGGGTACTCTCTGGGAAGTTTGGCTTGGCTTGGAGTTTCCCTTTGGCCCTTTGGGAAGAGGTTACAGTGCTGCCGCAGAGAGCGGGAGATGTGACCCAGATTTCTCCTTCTGTCTTGTAATCATTGTGCTTGGATTTGATTTAATAAAAGGTAAAACAGTCCCCAGAGTTCCCATTATAATAGTCCCACACTCCACAGGTCAGGGAACCAATATGAGAATTCTGTTAACTTCAAATATATCTATCCCAATTATACATTTTGGGACTGGGAAAATAACCATAGTATGAGTTTGGGGACCCACTGCACCTACTGTGAGTCAGATTTCAGCCAAAACTCCATTAATCACCTGACCTCCATAAGCACTTACTTTAATTGGAGTGCCACAATGTTTCTTGGGATTTCCTGGAATCATTGTTAATTCAGAACCAGTATCCAATAAACTCAGAAAGTCTGACTATTTCCTAGGCCATAGGTCCCTCTGGAGAAGGACTGGAGAAAAGCTAACAGTAAAACTTTTAGATATTTTATAAAGGTCCTTCCTTGGGGGAACCTGGCTGTCCCTTCATTCAAGGAGTTCTGGATCAGCAAACTGTCTCATCTGGAAATTTATTCATAGGCCTTTTGCCATTATCCAATGTAGCCTTTCATTTGTTGGAGAATTTTTCTGCTTGTACAGATCAAACAAAAATTCTGTAGACTTCTCTATTTCGTGCCTGGAAACACCATGATTGATTAGCCTGTACCTAAGGCCCACATGAGTAATGCTACCAAAAATTCACTTTGTCTGTGCTGTCCATTATGATTCCTACAATCACCTTGTCTTTGGTGGTTCAGTGCTGACACCTGGCCCCTGCTACCTCCGGGCCAAATTAAACCCATTGTATTTAATTCATCCAACTGAGCAGCAGCATCTTCAACCCTAAGATCTGGCACAAGAAAAAGGGCAACAGCAAAACAAAGCTCTTCAAATGTGCTGGTGCCTCTCTCAACTTTTTGCATCTTATATGCTTCAGCCAACCATTGAAACAAACTTTTGACACCTTTTTAAACTGTTCAAGCTTCCATATTAAAACTAGAATCTCCCCTCAGAGGGCCCAATAAACTCAGCCTGATGCAGTTTTACATTATACTTAAAAGATGCATCCTTATACTTCTGTTGTTCCAGAACTACTTCTGGCACCAAAATCTGTATTAGTCAGGGTTCTATACAGTAACAGAACTTATATATATGGGAGATTTATTAGGGAGTGTAGAGGTGGCTCAGCAGTTAAGAGCACTGGCTGCTCTTCCAGAGGTCCTGAGTTCAATTCCCAGCAACCACATGGTGGATCACAACCATCCAAAATGATATCTGATGCCTTCTTCTGGCCTGCAGGTATACATGCAGGCAGAACACTGTATAGATTTAATAAAAATAATAAATCTTTAAAATAAAAATGAAAGGATTTATTAGAATTACTTACAAACTGTAGTCCAACTAATCCAACAATGGCTGCCTGTAAGGGAAAGTCCAAGAATCCAGTAGTTGCTCAGGCCACAAGGCTGGATGTCTCAGCTGGTCTTCAGTATATGCTGGAATTCCAAAGATGTAGGCTTTAATGCCAGTGAAGGAATGGACTTGGCTAGCAAGGTGAGAGCAAGTAGGCAAAGAGCAAATTTTTCCTTCTTCCATGTCCTTATATAGGCTTCCAGCAGAAGCCATGACCAAGACTAGATCTGGATTAAAGGTGTGTCTTCCTTCCTCAAAGGTCCAGATTAGAAGATCTTTCTATTTAAAATTAATCAGAAATCCCTTACAGGTATGCCCTCTATTTTTGGGTTTTAAATAATTATAGATGTAGTAAAGTTGACAACCAAGAATAGCCATCACACCTGCAAATTGTATAATTTCATTTTTGAACAGCTGAATAATATTGCTGAATAATAATATAATAAATATATATTATATAATACATAATATATAATTATAAACAACTGAATAATATAATATTGTGTAATCCACATTTTCATTATCTGTTCATCAGTTGATAGGCATTTGGGATGTTTCCAGTTTCTGCTTGTTATGAATATAGCAGCAGTGAACATGGATGAGCAAGTATCTCTGGAATCCTAAAGTTTATGTGCAAGAATGGTATAGCTGGATCTTGAAGTAGATCTATTCCCAGCTTCCTGATGAACCACTGCAACACTGATTCCCATAATGGCTGTAAAAGTTTGCACTCCCGCCAGCAATGATAAGTTTCCCCCTTTTCTCACATCCTCACCAGCATGAGCTGACATTTGTTTTATTGATCTTAGCCATTCTAACTAGTATAAAATAAAATTGAAAAGTACTTTTAATTTGCATTTCTCTGATATCTAAGGATGTTGAACATTTTTGAAAACTCTCTGCTTAATTTTATACCCATTTTTAATTAGGTTGTTTTTTTTATTTTCAATTTCTTTAGGTCTTTATATATTCTAGATACTAATCCTCTATTGGATGTGTAATTGGTGAAGATTTTTTTCCAAATATATGTGAACATATCCAAATATAGAAAAGGTACAGTAAAAATGGTTCTTCTGGGGCACTTGCTGTGAACATTGCATGTACTAGTAGTTGCTCTGTGAAATAGTGAAGGATTGGTGAATGAATGTGTATGTAATTATAGACTTTTGAGGTACTGTACTAGAATAAATTTATTAAAGGCTACAATAAATTTGTTAAATATTTTCTTATATGAGTACTATTTTCTTTTGTTTTCATTACTTCTCTTGTTGCTTTGATAAAATATAAGACAAAAACAATTTAAAGAAGGAAAAATTTATTTTGACTCATAGGTCTGAGATACAGACCATCCTGACAGGAGACTCATAGTATCAGGAATCTGGCCACACTATATCCTCGGTCAGGAAGCAGAGAGAACTGAATGTTGATACTCAGCTCACTTTCTCCTTTTCTTTTTTCTTTCTTTTTTTTTTTTTTTTTTTTTTTTTAAATTGGTTTTTCAAGACAGGGTTTCTCTGTGTAGCTTTGTGCCTTTCCTAGAACTCGCTTTGGAGACCAGGTTGGCCTCAAACTCATAGAGATTCACCTGCCTCTGCCTCCCCAGTGCTGGAATTAAAGGCATGCGCCACCACTGCCCGGCACTTTCTCCTTTTCATTTGGTCTGAAACCTCAGCCTAGTAAATGGTGCCACCTATATTCAGGTTTGGTATTCTAGCCTTAATTAATGCAATCTAGATTCATAGATATTTCCAGAGGTTCATCTCCTAGGTGAGTCTAAATCCTGTCAAAGTGACAATATTAACCATTACATTTTTTTAACTTTATTACTTATTATTTGTGTTGGGGCATGTGTACATGTGCCAGAGTACTCATAAAGGTCAGAGGGAACTTTCTGCAGTTATTTCTCTGGTCTGCATATGCTCTGGAGGTAGAGTCAGGTTGCCAGTCTTCTGCAGTGCCTGCACCCACTGAGCCATCTTGCTGGCCCACCTTTTCTCTTCATAAAACTTCTAATTTTGTCTTATTTTGTTTGTTTTAAGGCAGGGACTTACCATGTAGCTCTGGCTGGCCTAGAACTCAGAGATCCACCCGCCTCTACCTCCCAAGTGCTGAGATTTAAAGGCATGCACCATCACACCAAGATAATTTAATTTTTAACTTCCTGGCACTTTGTAAATATACTTAAAACACAAATGTTGTATAGCTATATAAAATATTTCATGTCTTACCTTCATTTTTTCTTATTCTTTTTTAAAAAACTGACACAAACCTACACTTTCTTAAGTCTCTACATCTTCATACCTGTAATTTAAGAACTTGGAAAGCTGAGAATTACCATAAGTTACCGGGGTGCTTATCATCTTGAAAATACATTTTTACTAACTTCTGCTTCTATTTTTCACTACCTGTAAATAAGTGTTTTATCAATTAGACAGTGAAAGGTGAGCAAACACTTCCAAAGTTAAGGTGTTCTTCAAAAAAAAAAAAAAAAGAAATTGTATTAGTTATTTTTCTGTTGCTGTGATAAAACATTATGACCTACAGAAGAAATATATTTTAAATTAGAGTGCAAGAGAGATAAAAGTCTGTTATGGAGGGAAGCACGGCAGAAGGAATCCAAAGCTGAGAGGGCACATCTTTTACCACTAGCATAAAGCAGAGTGAGTTGATGTAGGGCAAGGCTATATAATCTGAGGTTGCACCACCTCCCCAAACAGCATCACCAAATGGGAACCAAGTGTTCAGATACCCAGATCTGTGGGGGATATTTCTCATTGACACCACCACATTCAATTTCCTGGCATTTATTCCCCATAGTCTCTTACAGTTTCAACAATGTTTAAAAGTCAAAAGTTTCTTTTGAGACTCAAGGTAACTTCTTAATTGTAACCTTCTGTAAAATCAAAAGGCAAATTACATACTCCCAACATTTTATTTCATTTTATATTCATTTTATGTGCATTGGTGTTTTGCCTGTGCGGATGTCTGTGTGAGGGTCCCATGGAACTGCAGTTACAGACAGTTGTGAACTGCCATGTGAGTGCTGGGGATTGAACCCCGGTCCTCTGGAAGAGCAGTCAGTGCTCTTAACCACTAAGCCATCTCTCCAGCCCCCTACTCCCAACATTTAATAGTGCAGAATATATATTACTATTCCAAAGGGGAGGATGGAGACATAAGGAGAAAATAATAGACTAAAGCAAGACTGGAACCCAACAAGGCAAACTCCAAATCATGTAGCTCCATTCCAGGTGTAAGAGGGCTTAGATGACTCTGCACCAGATTTGCTGCCTGCAACATGCATCTCTCTCTTGGGCTAGTTGTACTTCTTGTATGCAACTCTCCTTAGCAGATTCAGTTTCAATCTCCAGTGAAACCCAGGCTTCACTTTCATAGCTTCACACAACGACCTCTTACAGCCTCTTGCTCTCTCAGGGCCTTCACACAGGGGACTCCCTTGCAACACATGGCATGGCCTTTGCACTCTGAGACCATTGACAAAGAATCCATGACCCCTTCACTTCAGGCCTCTTAAAGCTAACACCATGTGGGCAATACTGCCAAATTCTGCTGCCAGCTTTAGATAGACCCTCACATTGAACCATATAAGCAGCTTTTGTTTTCAGTTGTTTTCTAGGAGCTAAAAACTTTCGCTTTCACATGTTGGAAGCTTAGCTGCATAGGGTCTTGCCCTTAAGAACAGTCTTCCTTTTGTTCCAGTGTAAAGCAGGCATCTCCTTAATGGCATTCATCTCCTGAAATTAGAGTGAGTTCAGAAGTAGACCCCTGAAAATCTGTTTCCCTTTCCTATTGTACAGTTATCCTGGTAAAATACTTTAGGTCCTTCTGGTGGGCAGGATGGGAGGAAGGCTAACAGTAAAACTCTTGGGTACTTTAACAAGATCCTTCTTTAGGGATTGTACTGGTTTATGTCAACTCAACAAAACTAAAGTCACCTGGAAAGAGGGAACCTCAATTAAGGAATACCCTCCATCTGACTGCCCTATGGACACATCTGTGGGGCATTTCCTTGATTAATGATTGATATGGAATGGTATAACCCATTGTGTCCAGTGCCATCCCTGGTCAAGTGGTCCTGGGTTATATAATCAACCAAGGTGAAGAAGTCATAGATAGTAAGCAGCATTCCTCATGATCTCTGCTTCAGTTGTTGCCCCAGGTTCCTGCTTTGACTTCCCTCAGTGATGGAATGTAAACTATAAGCCAAATAAAGCCTTTGCCCCCCAAAGTTGGTATTAGTCATGATATTTATCACAACAGCAGAAAGCAAATTAGGACATTGACTTTATATTCCATTAGTAATTAGTAAATGACTTTCTCAGATTATCATTCTTGGCAGGTGACTTTGAATGGAATTTCAATGTTTTACTGGTAATGCCACCAGAGAAAATAAATAGGAAAAATCTCGATTCCATTATGACTGCAAAATATGTGTGTGTGGGGGGGGGGTTTAAGAAAATAGAGAAGATAACTTATAATTGAACTCTATTACAATGATTCAAAAATACAATAAATCCTCTTTTGAAGGCTTCTGATGGGTGATCCTCTATCTTGTTACCTGGATATTGAAATTTAATAGTAAGTCATATGGGAGGGAATTGGCAATTCTAGAGTGTTCATATATGATTTATTGGTCACTTCATAGTTTGTTGTCATTGAAAAACAAGTAAATTCATTTATTTTCTGACAGTTATAGATAACTTTCTTTCTTTTCCTTTTTAGGTATGAAATATCAATGCCTCATAATTTTTCCCCTCCTTATGTAGATAGAAACACTGATCTTGACTGTTTTTCTGGATTTAAGCTGAATACTGTCTTATTTAAAACTATTATTAAAAATGAGATGCAGAAATACCTCAATACCTGAGTGAAAGCTAACATCGATCTTGAACCTACAAAAAGAGGACTGTGAAAGTCTAAATGATCTGCCGTCTTTTGAGTCAAATACAAGAAGAAACACAGGGAAGGAAGAAGAAGAAATGGCTGGTTCTAAGGTAAATGTGACCCAAGACAAGGGCTGTCTTAATTTCCCCCCAAAAGTACATTGTATTTAAAACATGCAAATCTTGACCGAGTGGTGGTGGCACACGCCTTTAATCCCAGCACTCAGGAGGCAGAGGCAGGCAGATCTCTGTGAGTTCAAGGCCAGCCTTATCTACAGAATGAGTTCCAGGAAGGTTCCAAAGCTACACAGAGAAACCCTGTCTTGAAAACAAACAAACAAGTAAATAAATAAAATATGTAAATCTTTACATTTATACACCTTGTAATCATTTCAAATGCTTATTTTCCCCTTCCTATGACAGCCAAAGTTATCTCTGTAAAATATATCTTTCTTGTATTTAGAATCTTCTCCCATTCTTTCACCCTTGTCCCCCAAGCCATGAATAATTCTTACCTTCAGTTACCTTGAACTATTGTATTGATAGTATTTTCATTGAGACAACTGTATATGGGAAAGCATTGATATACTACATTCCCATTGAGGATATATAGGCCTTTATGTACTCCTGAGGAAGTGTCAATGTTATTTTTATGATCCATTGTTGCTCCATCAGCTTGATGCACATGAGACAATAAAAGCACATTGAAGAGAAAGCTACTCATTTCCCAAACTAACTTAGAAAGGTTTGGAATAGAGTCTCTTCCCTTACAGTACCAAGGAAAAATAAATTGCGCTATTAAAAATTTCAGAAACACAGCTTCAGGTTTACAGAAGACCCATGAAAGAACCTAACTATAATAATGAGTGATGATAAAGATTGCAAAGAAGAAAACAAAGCAGCTCTAAGGTCGAGATGATGGCAGTGACATAGGCATACAACTTCAGACCTGCAGTAAACCAATAAAGGGACTTAGCCACTGAAATGAGTTCTATATGTCAAGATAAATAACAAAATATTAAACATTTTTTGTCTACTATTGGATTTGATATGAACCAACATAGTTCTTGTCATTGATAGAACCTCAGTTTATGTGTACTTTATTCACATTCTTCTCTGTTAGGTTGAAAAATGAAATTTTACTCTTTTCTAACCGTGATTAAATTCATGATATTTGTTTACATTTTTTAAAGGGGTTTCACTATGTAGCTCTGGATGGCCTATAACACTGTTTTTCAACATAGACCAGGCCAGCTTCAAACTCATAGAGATCTGACTGTCTCTACCTCCCAAGTGCTGGGTTAAAAGTATATGCCATTATACCAGCATTTGTTTTCATTCTTAGCCACTAAAAATTACTAATATTTTTGCCTAGAAGTCTACATGCCTAGGAGCCTTCTGTCAAGGCAATTATGTTCATCAGTTTCCTGACCTTAACCTACCATCACCAGACATTGTTAAATATTAATTATCATTTTAATCATACAATAAAGCCTTTATTAATATTTTTAACTGAGGTTCTTTAGCTATTACTGAAACTTATAATTTCTAAACTTCAATCATAGCAAATGGCTATGGTGTAGTGTAATACCATCATTGCCCACCTGGAATGCAGACTGAAGAATTATTAGTCACCCATCAGCCAGAGATCTAGATACAGGTTTGAATCTTTCTGTATGTTGTAATCAAAAAGAGCATGGCAATCTTCCTACTGCTTGCCTGCTAAAATGAGCCTCTGCTGGTCATGGAGGGATGCCCTCATTATTCTGGATCTTGGATTTCACATTATTCAGGTAAAAGTGTGCTTTCACATACTGTGATCCATCTCTAAGTCTTATTGCTTAGGGTCTTCAAAAAGATTTGCATTTTGACACATTAGGTGTGTGATGAAACTACAAACCTCCTCCCATATCAGAATACCTAAATGCAAAAGCTACTGGACTTGACAAAGCCTCTTGTCACTCTTATCAGTGTTTTAAATGATTCCTCAGAATAATGTTTAAGGATGGAATTTCTTCTGGGGCAGAACCTAGAAACTAATTCCTAGATACATAATAGTAGTATATTGAAGGTGAAATTGAAATTGCCTTTCAGGCCAGGCAGTGGTGGCACACGCCTTTAATCCCAGCACTCAGGAGGCAGAGCCAGGCAGATATCTATGAGTTCAAGGCCAGCCTTGTCTACAGAGCAAGATCCAGGATAGGAACCAAAACTACACAGAGAAACCCTGTCTCAGAAAAAAAAATCGCTTTTCCGCTTTGAGGTTCTATGTAAACTTTAACCATAGTTCAACATTTAGTCTATATTAGCAATAGATAGTTGTCAGTTTATATTTCTCAAAGTTCATGTTGTGTTATGCATTCAAACTGAGTTTCCATGTATATTTTTAATATAAATTTAGTGAATCTTTTTGTGTTAACTTGTGCTAACTACTTATGAAGGACACTTTACACTTTAGAGATAAAATCAGCAGCAGCCCCATGGAAAATGAGACAAATATTGAGTTCTAAATATAAATTTTTATTATAAACTGTTTCTTTGGGAACCAGAATTAGAATAGCTTCTTGGTTATCCTCCAGAACATGATGGTAAGAATGCTAAAAACACCACATACTTAAGTCATAGGACTTGGAGAAATGTAGCTGGTACCAAGCAGGAAGCTTCATCCTTACTGTTTAGCTTTCATAGTTCTAGAAGTGATTAGGTATGCTATTGAGAGAGAAAAAATAATCAACAGTCTTTGTAAATGGACATTTCCTGTCCCAACTGCCCAGTCCCAAATAACTAACTCAGAGACTGAATATGAATTATAAATGTTCAGCCAATAGCTCTGGCTTATTTTAACTAGTCTTACAACTTAAATTAACCCATTCCTATTAATCTATATGTTGCCACAAGGCTCATGACTTTTACCTCTGTCCCATTTTGTGTGTCTGCCTTGTTCTTCATCTGGCTGGCAACTCCAGATTCCATCCACCTTTCTTCTTTCCAGAATTCTCTCTGTGTCAGGCTATCCCACCCAATCTCTTCCTGCCCAGCTATTGGCCAATCAGCTTTTTTATTAACCAATGAGAGTAATACATATTCACAGTGTACAGGATTATTCCACAGCAAGTTTTACCCAGCTGTGAACTCTGTGAGCTACAATAACTACTTGCCTGTAAAGATATGCCTTACATGTGTGAGTGTTAGGGGAATAACCAACCACTTTCTGCTTGGATTTAAGATATGGGACACAAGATGGAACTCAAGCCTGGTACTATAACTGTGCAAAAAAAAAAAAAAAAAAAAAAAAAAAAAAAATCCATGGCTGCCTAAGTCATAGGGGAGAACATACTACTGTTATTCTCTTAAATGGATATAAAATTTCCCCTTAAGTTCTTATCCCTAGACCAAGAGTATAGATAGGGGATCATCAACCGTCATCTGAGAAGTTTCTTTTATAGTAGATGACAATTAATATGGAGATTCACAACTGGTCAGTGTGCAGATAATAAGATTCTGTGATATGCTTAGCTCTAAATGTGACTTCTATGTCACACTCCCTTATTCCAAAGCTCAAGAATCATTACAGAAGAGGGGAAAGATTTTTAAGAGCCAGGGGTAGTAGACACCTAAAGAAAAATTTTTGCTGTGCATGACAGGGTTACTAAACACATGAACTCACAGTGGCTATCACTGCATGTTTAAGTTCTATACAAGATCAAATCAGCCAAAATTCCAGCAGGGAAGGGGAAAGGGTAAATTAATCCACACTTCCTAGCTAAGAAGCTATTGTCAACTGATGTCTGCTAGTGGAGTAAGAGTTTTCTTTAGGGATATGTTCACAGAGAAGCTACATATACTTTAGGAAATGTTGTATGCCCATGTCTATAAGTTAGCACAAAGTGAGCTCAGTGGGTTTGAAACAAAGCACAGGAAGAAGGGAGGGGAAAGTGTCAGGAGGGGAATGGGGTGCAGCTAGAGTTTTCCTACCTTGCCCACAGTTAGGACAAACCTCTATCACCCGCCAGTCCCACAACAGCTCAGACCCGACCAAGTAAACACAGAGACTTATATTGCTTACAAACTGTATGGCCATGGCAGGCTTCTTGCTAACTGTTCTTATAGCTTAAATTAATCAATTTCCATAAATCTATACCTTGCCACATGGCTCGTTGCTTACCGGCAGCTTCTTCACATGCTGCTTGTCCTGGCTGCAGCTGGAAGTGATTTTGTCCGCCTTCCTGTTCTTTTATTTCTCCTCTCTGTTAGTCCCGCCTATACTTCCTGCCTAGCCACTGGCCAATCAGTGTTTTATTTATTGACCAATCAGAGTAATTTAACATACAGACCATCCCTACTGTGGACCATCCTACAGCACTCCCCCCCCCCCTTTTTAAAGGAAGGTTTTAACTTTAACATAGTAAAATTACATATAATTTGAGGATTTGGGAATAGCTCCTCTTACTACTTCCTGCTGGAGGAGGGCGCTGTATCTTATGGGGACAGAAAGAAAATTTTAGGATTATGGAGTAGTCCATGAGGCTGTATTGTCTGAGCCAGTTGCCTTCAAACCATTCTGGATGTTGGATCATCTGGACCATGGTGTCATCAGAGACCTTTCAGGGGGTCTTGGCTGGTCAAACCTGATGTATCTTAATCTGGAACAAATACATAGCCTCTGGCTTTCTGTGGAAACAAAAGCAAAGCCTCCTTTCCAAAGCAACATATCCTTACATCCAAATTTTGAAGTCAAGGTACATTTAAAATATATGTTTTGGCATAACTCAATAGCTTTTGTAATCAAATGTTTTTCTTTAGTTACAAATATCAAAGAGAACATAATCCAGATTCTCTTTGTAGTAGCCATCTTTACGTGGTTTATTTTTTTATATTACCTTGAGCCTATTGCTTTAAACTGCACCATTCTAAGACTGAAACGGTGCTGTGGTTGCTGGCTCCACCCACTTCAGCTTCCCAACATGGCAGTGGTACTTTTTCCAACAGCTCTGGGAGCCATCAACTCTCAGAAAGAGTGGGTCTATGCTTTTATCAAAGCAGCGTGTAGCCCAGAAACCTTTTTTATTTTATACTAGCAAAGGCTAAATCCACCACGCAGCTTAATGTGCCACTTGCAGAGGCCTCATTCCTGCCATACTGCAAGTCGAGCGCACAGCCAGGAACCCGCCAGAGTAGCTCAAAACACACAGGCTGCTGCTAGCTTGAAAGAAACAACTAGGAACTGTTTTTAGCTCCGTTTTTTACTCAGGTTTTAGGTGGAAACTCTTGCCAACACGTTGGGTGCCAATGGGGGGAATTTTAATCAAAATGTCATGTGCATGTATGAAATTATCAAGCAATAAAAATAATTTTTAAAAAGTAAAATAGGTCATATTTGTCCACAAACCATTATTATGTGCATTATTGTTCTTATTATATGCTAGCTTGTATTATACTAATACCTGTAGTTAGTGTTGAGCTGGCCCAGATCTTTAGCCAAGATAGAGTCACCTAAGACACCAAGATGGATGACCCATATGGGACCTAGCCCCTTTGGGGAAATGGAGACTGAACATTCTGCAGTTCTCAGAAGTCTTCTTGATGCCTTATCTCAGCAGAAGAGTGTGACCACCGCCTCCTTCCTATCCTAATGGCCAGAGCCCCCACACATATAAAATTTTGCTTATAGCAGCCCCTTTTACCTGCAACAGTTTCTTTTCCCTTAGTGTTCTCCTGCCACTCTCTCACCCAACTTAAACCACCCTATAAAACTCCCCTTTTTGCAAGGAAGCTCTCCCTCTTCTTGGAGACAGCCTGGCAGTTCATCCGCCTTTACAGGTGGATCTCTGGTTGAGGCAGCCTGGTCTACAAAGCGAGTTCCAGGAAAGGCACAGAGCTACACAGAGAAACCCTGTCTCGAAAAACAAAAAAACAAAACAAAACAAAAAGCTTTGGCCTTAGCATAGCTCTGGTGGTTTTATTCTCTCATTAAGCCTCACAGTTAGTTTAGATTTTATCAGTTCTGCTATATTTATCCTTGGAACATCTTTCAAATACTTTAGGTTTGTAATTGAAAAGTTTACTATAAAAAAATATCAAAACCAAAAGTGTGTTGCTTTACAAAATGAGTTTATTAGAATATGTGATGGGTGTCAACTTTGAGTTTTATAAACAACAGTGATATTTGGCTTCATAAATGTACTGTGAAGTAGTAATGTGATTCATAATATTAAAGCAAAAATAGTTATCAGCAAGGTGACAATAGAAAAAATTGTAAGATGTAACTCAAAATAAATAATAAATGAAATTAAATCAATAATCTATGACTCAGAAACTATAGCATATTTATAGTTGCTTTTCTTAAATATGTCTAGTGTCATTTATGTTTTCATATTTGTAAATTTTTAAAATTAGCATACACAGTATTAGGTGTCATTATGGCATTTTCTTTTTTTGATAAATTAATTTATTTCACATTTTGGCCATAGCTTCCCCTCCTTCCTCTCCTCCCAGTCCCCCCACCCCCATCTTCCATCTCCCTAATTCACTCCCCCTCCATTCCTGTTCAGGAAAGGGCAGGTGTCCCATGAATATCAACACAACATGGCACATCAAGTTGCAGTAAGACTAAGCACTTCCCTATGTATTAAGGTTAGTCAAGGTGACCCAATATGAGGAGTAGGGGCCTAAAAGCAAGTAAAAGAGTTGGAGATAGCCACTGTTCTACTGTTAGGACTCCCACAAGAGGACCAAGTTACACAATTGTAACATATATGCAGAGTGCCTAGTTCAGTCCCATGCAGGCTCCTTGGTTGTTGATTTGGTCTCTGTGAGCTCCTATGAGCCCAGGTTAGTTGATTCTGTGTTTTCTTGTTTCTTGTTTCTTGTTTCCATCAATTGCTAGATGAAGCCTCTCTGATGACAGTTGGGTTAGACACCAATATGGTCACAGGAGATGGTCAGTTCAGGCTATATATCCACTATTGCTAAGAGTCTTAGCTGGGGTCATCCTTATATATTCTTGGGAGATTCCCTTGAACCAGGTTTTTACCTGACCCTAAAATGTGCCCCCCTTTCCAGTAGTCTCTTTAAGTAGTCTCCTCCTCCATTCCTCTCCCTAACTTGATCACTCATGTTCCCATTCCCACCTACCTTCAGTCCACTCACAAAACTCTATTTTCTCTTCCCAAGGAGATCCAGACATTCCCCCCCAATGAACCCTCCTTGTTACCTAATCTCCCTGTGGATTGTAGCATGTTATCCTTTATCTTACAGCTAATATCTATTTATGAGTGAGTACATACCATGTTTGTCTTTGTCTGGGTTACCTCACTCAGGATGATTTTTTTCTAGTTCCATCCATTTGCCTTCAAGTTTCCTGATATAATTGTTTTAACAGCTGAGTAATACTCCACTGTGTAGATGTACTACATTTTCTTTATCCATTTCTTGGTTGAGGGACATCTAGGTTGTTTCCAGGTTCTGACTATTACAAATAAACTTGCTATGAATGTAGCTGAGCAAGTGTCCTTATGGTATGATTGAGCATCCTTTGGGTATATGCCCAAGAGTGGTATAGCTGGGTTGTAGCTGAAGTTTTTCTGTGTCCCACCCAGACAGAAAAGGAGAGGTGCTGTGGGATGTTCTGTATGCTGTGAATATGTGTTGCTCTGATTGGTTGACATATAAAATGCTGATTGGGCAGTAGCCAGGCAGGAATTATAGGCAGGATAAGCAGACAAGGAGAATTCTGGGAAGAGAAAGGCTGAGTGAGGAGACACCAGCCTGCCCTCCAGGGAGCAGCATGTAATGGCACACAGATAAAGCCATGGAGCATGTGGTGACATACAGATTAACAGAAATGGGCTGAGTTTAAATGTAAGAGCTAGTCAGTGGTAGGCCTGAGCTAATGGCTGAGCAGTTTTAATTAATATAAGCCTCTGTGTGTTTACTTGGGTCTGAGCAGCTTTGGACCAGGTGGGACACAGGAAAACTTTCAGCTACACTGGGTCTTGTGGTAAGTTGATTCCCAGTTTTCTAAGAAACCACCACACTGATTTCCAAAGTGGCTGGTGGTACAAGTTTGCACTCCCACCAACAACGGAGGAGAGTTCCCCTTGTTCCACATCTTTTCCAGCATGAGCTGTTTATCTTAGCCATTTTGACAGGTGTAAGACGGAGAGTAAGATCACAGAGTCATTTTGATTTGTAGTTCCCTGATGAATAAGGATATTGAACACCTTAAGTGTTTCTCAGCCATTTGAAATTCTTCTGTTGAGAATTCTGTTTAGATCTGTACTCCATTTTTAATTGGATTATTGGTTTGTTGATTCCCCTTTCTTCTTCTCTTCCTTTGCCCTTACACGCACCCACCTCATATCATCCTATCTCCTTTTATGACATTTCTTTTTATTAACATTTATTATTATTTATTTATTTATTTATTTATTTATTTATTTAGTGTGTGTGTGTGTGTATGAGAGAGAGTAAAGAGAAATAATATAGTACATGTAGAGGTCTAAGGGCAACTTGCAGGAGTCTTTTCTCCTTCCATCATGCAGGTATCAGGGACAGAACTCAAGCTGTTCTTCACCTAGTGAGTAATCTCTCTAGCCCTTATTATCATATTTCTTGTTTTCAAAGACATTAAAATTTTTTTCCTAATATTTAGCTCTATTGTTTTTTGTTTGTTTGTTTTTCGAGACAGGGTTTCTCTGCGTAGCTTTGCGCCTTTCCTGGAACTCATTTGGTAGCCCAGGCTGGCCTCAAACTCACAGAGATCCGCCTGGCTCTGCCTCCCGAGTGCTGGGATTAAAGGCGTGTGCCACGACCACCCAGCCCTAGCTCTATTTTTATACATGCTGTATCAGATATAAATTTATTTGAGCAGTTTTCTTTGGCTGACTTTGTAATAGGTTTTCTTTAATCTTTTTTTGCTATGAAATTATTTTAAACATTATTTTGGCACAAACACTTGATTTTTGGCTCTTTTTAAAATATTCCTTTTTCTATACTTTTGAGGTCATATAAACTTAGTTGAAATGTTATTTTTATAATTGTCTAAATTTTTAGCAAAATGATGTCAGAAAAGAAAAAAATAACCAAGAAGTTGTGGTATATATGTATAATGGAATACTATTCACATATGAAGCAGAATGAAATCCTATCATTTGTAACAAACTGGGTAAATCTGGAAATAATTCAGGCAGAGAAAGATAAATGCCACTTGATCTCAATCAAAATTTGATCTCAGAAATTGAAGGTTAATGATGTTTCCCAGAGGCCAGTGACATCAGGGAATGAGAACTGGTGCTATTATACTTTTAGGAGGAAGCAAGACAAGAGTACTATCACACAGAATGGTGACCACAGGTATCAGTTATATACCATACCTTTCAAAAAGATAGAAGATATGGTTTTAGACTTTTGATCATAAAAAAGATAAATGTTTCAGGAGATAAATGACATGTAGTGTATTTTAATATTCTAAAAGTATTGCTGTACTTTCTATGTTTTTAATATCTAACTTATTTAAATTCTTGAAATTCAATTTTATCCATAACTATTCAGATTAGTCACTGATATCAATACTGAGATCTGTACATATTCAGAAACTCAGAACTTAGTCCAGAGTTGTTGCATCTGAATATGCATTTTAATTACATTTCCTATTCATAATTGCATATATATTTTAAAAATTTATAGTGTTCTAACTTATCATTAATGTTTTTCCATGTGAAAGATATACAATTTATATAGTATGATACAAATTTAGCACACACTATAAATAGTGTTGATTCTTTCAGTTTACATTATATTTCACTAAAAATGTGAGTTTTGGTGGATCTTATATCATTTTTCATTAAATACACAAGACAACATTCCTACATATCAAAGAATTTTATTGATTCATATTACTTAGATCCAAACCACTTTTAGCTCTCCTTTCATCTTTGGTAAAATTAGGAACTCAGCAAATATATAACTTTATTGATTGATAATTACTTACCTTATGCAATTAATTTATTTCTATATTGGGGCAGTTGTCATTCAGAGATGTAGCCATTGATTTCTCCCCAGAGGAATATGAATGCCTGGGCCCTGCACAGTGGGATTTGTATAGTGATGTGATGTTAGAGAATTACAGCAACCTTGTCTCTCTGGGTGAGTATCACTCCCCTACTGAATTCTTAATTCATTGTCAATATTTCAGTGTCTTTCTTTGTAGAATATCTCATGGGAGCTCATGCTTTATATCAATGAATTTCATATTTCTGCTTTTAAGGAAAAAATAGAAGGGTGGCTAAGAATAAATTAGTTAAGTTTATTATATTCCTTCTATTTTTAACCTTTTTTGTTTTTAAATTATGAACCCTTCACTCTAGTGGTAATTTTAGAAATTAAGTTGCATGAGACATACCACACAATCTTAAAACAATATACCCTTTAATGTTAAATTTTCTGTATTTGTAAATAAAGCTCAAGATCTTCAAACTGTAAAATCTTCCTTTGTATTCTAATATACTTATCAGGAAAGATTTAGAGAAATGGGGTTTTTTTTTCCTACAAGCTTTCATTTATGTCATCTTTCCTTATAAGCAAATACTAGGATAGAAATGCTGATTTTCCAGAGACCAACACAAAGCATCATTTTTCTACAAACAGGTCTTGCTTTCTCTAAGCCATATCTGATCACATTTCTGGAACAAAGAAAACAGCCTTGGAATGTGAAACAACAAGCAACAGTAGCCGTGTACCCAGGTATGTAGGAATGTATGAGTGAGAGGATGCAGATGAGATGTTCAAAAATCCAACAGAATGCCAGGCTTTTAAAATGTGGATTGAGAAGCTGTTTCATGGAAATAATTTTAGGAGTCTCCATTGATTTCTCTTAACTATCAAACAAGGACATTTCATGTGGATCTCTATCATACATCATAAGTCCTCTGAGTCATGTTCTTCCCCTCCAGTGATCTCTACCCACATTCATAGTGACTAACAAAGTAATTACTTTTGCCTATGAAGAGCTACATCCTGATAAATGTTTCATTGCTGTGTAGGGTTCAGACAGTTCACAGATACTTCTAAAAACCCCTGAGTCAAATCTTTATAATACAGTAGCCACAACTGGGTTTTGCTATGGGATGTCTTTCTGTATGCTGTGAATACGTGTTGCTCTCATTGGTTGATAAATAAAGCTGCTTTGGCCTATGGCAAGGCAGGATAGAGCCAGGTGGGAAATCCAAGCAGAGATACAGGAGAAGAAGGGCAGAGTCAAGGGAAATGCCAGCCAGCCACCAAAGAAGCCAGATGCCATTAGATAAGTAATGCCACAGCCCCATAGCAATACATAGATGAATAGAAATGGGTTAATTTAAATGTAAGAGGTAACTAGTTATAAGCTTGAGCTATCAACCAAGCATTTCCAAGTAATATTAAGCCTCTGGGTGATTATTTTAAAAGTGGCTGTGAGAGTGGGTGGGACAGAAAATCTTCCACTTACAGAGTTTCTCTAATTTTATCTATATGCTCATTGATCAAAATTGTCTCCTCCAAGCTCTCTGTGAATGTACAATTTTTTTCAATCTCTCTACACCAATGATTTAAAATGCATGTGTTTTTATAGTCCCAGCCAAAAAGGATACATAATTGGATGAATTTTTTAAATAATTTTTTTTGTATTCTTTCAGGATTTTATGGGTTCAAGATTCTCCTTGTCTTATTTGGAAATCCATTTTCTGTGGGTTTTTTTTTTTTTTTTGGTCTAGTTTTTCACAAATAAGTTGATAATATGTTTAGGCATATTCTAATTGGATTGAAGTTAAGAAAATGTAAGACAATGAAAAAATCTGTTAACTGTATCTATATTTCCAATAGAATTTAATTTTTATTTACCTGTTCCCATGTTTTCATACTATACACAATAGTTACCTCTGCCATATTTGTAGAAATTATGCTATAGTTATTATCTGTTTATGAATAGACATGTTGACCTTACTGAAATTTCTGTGATTTACAGATAAATTATATAATTATAAATTAATACATTTAAATTTATTTCAATTGCATAAAAGTATCTTGAATATTTTGAGTATGCTATTCAATAGCATTGTTTATTCAAATTGTTTTGTAGTATATATATATATATTTTTTCCTTTTTTTTCCGAGACAGGGTTTCTCTGTGCAGCTTTGCGCCTTTCCTGGAACTCGCTTTGGAGACCAGGCTGGCCTCGAACTCACAGAGATCCGCCTGCCTCTGCCTCCCGAGTGCTGGGATTAAAGGTGTGCGCCACCATCACCCGGCTTGTAGTATATTTTTAGAAAATGTTTTTGCTTTTGAAAATAACTCTATACTTATGAAAGAAACTGTATATTTTTGTCTCCATACAATTTATTACATTCAGTATTCTACTTTCAGTTTTACAAGTTTTATTACTATAGAATCTTCAAGTAATTCAGGTCATATGTCTTTGTGTAATAGGTTTTATTTCATTTTTCATAGCACCTTTAAGATTCATCCTTATGGTAGATAGCACATGATTACCTTTTAAAGGTGGAATAGTATTTCATTGTTTGTATATTCCATATTGTCTTCATCTTTTTGGTACAATGGAAATTAGGTTGTTTCCACCTGTGGTATTTTCTGAGTAATGCTGCAATGATTTGGGGTATAGAAATATATTTTACATTCTATATTTTATGGGTCATGGGAGGGTAAATTTCATATAAATATGTAACTGAATAAAAATATCCAATGTTAACAATAAGCATTATAAATATAAAGATTATTGTTGTTATTGATACCTTATTATTTATTCAATAGGAATAAAACCTTATAAATGTAAAGAATGTGGCAAGGCCTTTGTTCGGAATTCACTCCTTATTCAACACCAGAGAATTCATACTGGAGAGAAACCCTACAAATGTGAACAGTGTGGCAAAGCTTTTAGCTGTTCTTCAAGCCTCACCCCACATCAAAGAATTCATACTGGAGAGAAACCCTACAAATGTGAACAATGTGGTCAAGCATTTAACTGTTCTTCACACCTGTATAAGCATCAAAGAATTCATACTGGTGAGAAACCCTATAAATGCACAGAATGTGGTAAAGCTTTTAACTGGTCTTCAAGCCTTACCCAACATCAAAGAATTCATACTGGAGAGAAACCCTACAAATGTAAAGAATGTGACTTGGCCTTTAATTGTTCTTCACACCTGTACAGGCATCAGAGAATTCATACAGGTGAAAAACTTTACAAATGCAAGGAATGTGGCAAGGCCTTTAACTGTTCTTCATACCTTAATTATCATCAGATACTTCATACTGGAGATAAACCCTACAAATGTAAAGAATGTGGCAAAGCCTTTACCATGGTCTCTTATCTCACTCGACATCAGAGAATTCATACTGGAGAAAAACCCTATAAATGTAAAGAATGTGACAAAGCATTTAATAATTGTTCAGCCCTAATTCAACACCAAAGAATTCATACTGGAGAGAAACCCTACAAATGTGAAGAATGTGGCAAAGCTTTTAATAATAGTTCAAGCCTTACTCATCACCAAAGAATTCACACTGGAGAGAAACCCTACAAATGTAAAGAATGTGGCAAGGCCTTTAACTCATCTTCACACCTAAATTATCATCAAAGAATTCATACTGGAGAGAAACCCTATAGGTGTGAAGAATGTAGCAAAGCCTTTAATAATTTTTCAGCCCTTATTCAACACCAAAGAATCCATACTGGAGAGAAACCCTACAAGTGTGAAAAATGTGGCAAAGCCTTTAATAATTGTTCAGCTCTTAGTCAACACCAAAGAATTCATACTGGAGAGAAACCCTACAAATGCAAAGAATGTGGCCAGGGCTTTAACTGTTCTTCAAATCTTAAACAACACCAAAGAATTCATACTAGAGAAAAACTCTACAAATATGAAGATTATGGCAAAGCTTTTAATAATTGCAAAGCCCTTACTCAATACCAAAGAATCCATACATACTGGAGAGAAACCCTGTAAATGCAAACAGGGTGGCAAAGTATTTAACAATTGTTTTACACTTATGTAATATCAAAATTTTATCCATAATAGAAACACAGCAAGTTAAAATCAAGTGGAAAATCCTTTATTCTTCATGCCATAATCAACATCAGAGATTTTTGTATTGGTGAGAAACCTTGCACATATAAGTAATGTTACACAGCCTTTAGCTGAAGCTTGATCTTCATTAACCATCAATGAATTCATATTAGGTAGAAACTTTATACATGTAATGACTGGAAGGAATTTAGTCTAATATTTACAGCTCAGAAAAGCAAAGTATTCTACAAAACATGTAACTAATAACAATATAGCCAAGCCTTTGCTGACACCTCAAATCTTACGAATATAAGGATATTATTATAACATAAATCCAATGAATATATGGAATGTCACAAAAACTTGAAGGAAGCCAGGCATAGTGGCACACACCTTTAATCCCAGCACTCAGAAGACAGAGGCAGCTAGATCTCTGTGAGGTTTAGGCCAGCCTGGTTTGCAAAGCAAGGGCTGTTACACAGAGAAACCCTGTCCGGAAAAGAAAAAGAAAAAACTTGGAGTGCTTATAATTTAATTTATAGGGCTTCATTATTTGATATAATGAAAGAAATATAACAGACGTCAGAATCTTCAAATAACTTACCTCTGTAAGGATATCAATTTATTATAAAAAACAAATTTACTATGTAGCCTCACTTTTTAAAACTGAATGAAGCATAGCTCTCAAATGATTGTATCAAAAGAACAAAACTGGTTCTTGAGAGTTACTTTTTTCCAGAAACTATGTGTTAGATTTGGAAACATAGATTGTGAAGTTTAATTGTCTTAATAAAGGTGTTTCTTGATGTATTGTCACTGTTGTATATTGAATGACATATTATTCTATCTTAAATTAGAATATTCCACTTTATTCAGGGATACAGTTAGCAGATTTTAATTCTGTATTGCTAGCAATTAGTAGAATGACATATCATTCTTTGACCAGTGTTAAAAATATGCTTCAAGTAATTGGGAAGTTATTGTTCTATATGACATATTTTTTCTTTTTTTTCTTTTTTTAATTACTTGGAAATTTTTGTACTTCTCTTTCCTATTCTTGCTCCTCCATCCATTCCTCTGAGATAATACCCTCTCTACCTACCCAACTTCATGTTCTTAAAAAAAAAAAAAAAACAACAAGAAATTGTTAAAATAAAATAAAAATCACTTTTCCTAAAGGACTTTTGTAGATGAATTTCTAAACAGTCTCATTAAATAAAAAACACGGGTTTGGGGATTTAGCTCAGTGGTAGAGCACTTGCCTAGCAAGTGCAAGGCCCTGGGTTCAGTCCTCAGCCCTGAAAAAAAAAAAAACAACACGGAGTCAGAAATTGGGGTTAAAGCCTGAAAGAGATCAATGATCTGGGTGGTCGTTGGTTTTAGAGGGCTTAACACCACCTACTCCAGTGATGGTAAGGCCATCCTTAAGTTTCCAATGAGGAAATGCCTGGACATCATTAGTAGATATTACAGTTGGGTCTGCATCAGTGTCTACTAGACCCTTGGTGGGTCTGCCATCCAGGCAGAGGGTCATCATTGGGAGAATGGGGGACTATGGGAAGGGTCCAAAATACTCTGGGTTTGGAGGGACCCCCTCTTACATGCTGGACTGAGGGGTGCCCCTCCTCAAGTTGAAAGGAACCTGGAGAGAGCTCTTGCAGTCATGTGCCCAACGAAACTGTGTTTGGCTTTTGGGGCATTTGGTCTTGGGTTGAGCCTTAGGGAAGTCTCAATAAAGGTGGCATGACTGACCACAGACCCAGCAAGAATGGTCAGGTCAGTTGGGAGAGGACTATCCATGACATTATCTTTGGAAGCTAATAGTGCATTGAGAGAGGCAGTAAGGGCTGCTATGGGCCCTGCCTGAGGGTCAAGATCACAAGTAGTGATCACCCATTTATGGATGTCCTCATTATGCACTGCTGCAACTGCATTTCAAGCAGGAGTATTAAGCACCTCCAATGTTAATTGCTTAATGAGAATCTCCCTGGTCCGGCCAGGATCCACCTCTTTCTCTACTGCCTCAATGGCTAGAGCTAAGAAGTCAGTAAACAATCCTCCCCTCCCTGGGCAGGGTGCAGGGGAGCGGCTGTATCAGATTACAAAATTAGGCAGTTGGATCCCAAGGAGTGCAGGATTTCAAGGCTTTAAATGCAAGTTCAGAGACCTGCTGAAAATGGGCATGCAGGCTAATTCGAGCTTGAGTCATGGAATTAACATATTGGCCCCAGCTGGTCAGCACTTCTAGGGATATAGCAATATTATATTGTATATTGAGGCATGCCTGTGTCTCTGCCTCATCATCATATGCCACTCACTACTTAAGAAAAACTGGGGGCTCAAGCACAGCTTTCATCAAATTATACAAGTCTGTAAATGTATTGCCCGTTGTCCTAAGACTTGCTCAAAATACAGGGAGTCAGGACTGATTCATTAGTGGCTTTATGAATCAAGGACAGATCCGTAAGAAGAGTGGGCACCCAGGGCTGGTTGGCCGCATCAGGTCCCACACTGACTGGAAAGGCAAAAGGGTTAGAAGAGTGATATTTAATTGTTGGGGCTTGCATAAGGGGCTCAGGTACTGGGGCAGGATTAGTCATAATAATATATATAATAATATATAATAATAAAAAATATGAGAGATTGAGGGACAAGCTTTACTTACTGAGGGGTTTTTGCCTTAAGGGAATCACAGTGAGGCTCTTCAGGGCATGAGGATGAGGGGAGTTCTGCCCAAGGATAGAGAGTTCCCTCTGTAGGAGGTGAGGCAGGAGGTTTCTTTGGCAGGCTGTCCTCGTCCTCCAAATCTGGCTCTACATATGGAGGTGGGAAATCAAGCGAGAGGGAATTCATTTTTTGTGTCTTACAGTAGTCATTAAAAGCTCTAAGAACATTGTCCGTGGTACCTGATTTTATACAGGCTATAATGCCTAGTAGTATGGGTACAAACGCTGAACGAGGGGACTTCACTTCTTGAACCTTCTTTTTCATGGTAAAAAAAACAAAAAACAAAAACAAAAACAAAAACCTCTCATCCATAATGAGGGATCCCAGATGTTCTCAGGAGAGATCAAGGGTGCTAGAGCAGAGATATTGTCACAAAAACTGACTGGGTGAGAGTGGTGGATGCAAATATCTCTGGTCTGTACAAGAGCTTTAAGTGCCAAAATCTGAGGCTCCTTTGCAGAAGAAGGGAAGTTACCCATTACCTGTGAAAGAGGCAAGGGTAAAAAGTGCACTCTCCTGGGAGTGGTCAGGTGCATTTGGGGTCCAGCGCTTGTGCGGCTGACAGTGAGAGTGGAAAGCTGCAGTAGCTGGGGATCCAAGCACCCCCACTCCTGATTGCTGCCATAGCCTGAGAGTGCGTAGCAAAAGAGAGCATGCAGGTCTTGGCCACCCCACCTTGTAATGAGTGGGCATTTGGGCACAGGCTGAATGTGGGGCTACTGCAGCCCAAGGCTGACCAAGGTATCCCACTATGGGGAATAGGTTCCAAAAAGCCAGCTTATGTGCTAGGGACAGGTCCTGGTCCCACTGCTAGGGGCACCACAAACAGGCCAAGCTACACAACTGTCATCCACATGCAGAGGGTCTAGATAGGACCCATTAGGCTCCCTAGATGTTGGTCTAGAGTATGCGAGCTCCCACAAGCTCAGGTCAGCTGTCTCTAGGGGTTTCTCCATCATGATCTTGACCCCCCCTTGCTCATATAATCCCTCCTCCCTCTCTTCAACTGGACTCCTGGAGCTCAGCCCAGTGTGTGGCTGTGGATCTCTGCATCTGCTTTCATCAATTACTGGATAAAAGGCTCTTTGATGACAATTAGGGTAGTCACCAATCTGATTATAGAAGGCCAGTTCAGGCACCCTCTCCACTATTTCTAGGAGTCTTAACTGGGGTCATCCTTGTAGATTACTGGGAGTTTCCCTGGCACCAGGTTTCTCCCTAACCCTATAATGGCCACCTCTATCAAGATATATCTTTCATTGCTCTCCCTCTCCATCCCTCCCTCAAATCAACCATCTGGATCCCTCACATTTCCATCCCCCATCCCCTCCCTTCTCTTCCCATCCCCAGTTTACCCAGGAGATCTCATCTATTTCCCCTTCCCAAAGTGAGCCATTCGTCCCTCTTAGGATCCTCCTTGTTACCTAGTTTCTCTGGGGTTGTGGATTGTAGCCTGATTATCCTTTGCTTTACATCTAATATCCATTATGAGTGAGTACACATTGTGTTTGTCTTTCTGCATCTGGATTGCCTCACTCAGGAAGGTTTTTCTAGTTCCATCCATTTGCCTGCAAATTTCATGATGTCTTTTTTTTTAACAGCTGAGTGATACCCTATTGTATAAATATACCATATTTTCTTTATCCATTCTTCAGTTGAGGGACATCTAGATTGTTTCTAGATTCTATCTAGTATATATAATGCTGCTATGAACATAGTTGAGCAAGTTTCCTTGTGGTATGATTGAGCATCCTTTGGGTATATGCCCAAGGGTGGTATTGCTGGGTCAGAAGAATGATTCCCAATTTTCTGAGAAATCACCATACTGATTTCCAAAGTGGATGTACAAATTTGCACTCTCACCAGCAGTGGAGGAGTGTTTCCCTTACTCCACATCCTCTTCAACATAGGCTGTCATTTGCGGTTTTTATCTTAGCCATTCTGACAGGTGTAAGATGGTATCTCAGAGTCATTCTGATTAGCATTTCCCTGATAGCTAAGATTGTTGAACAATTCTTTAAGTGTATCTCAGTCATTTAAAATTCTGTTGAGAATTCTGTTTAAATCTGTACCCTATTTTTAATTGGATTATTTGGTATTTTGATGTTTATATTCTTAAGTTCTTTATATATTTTGGAGATCAGCCCTCTGTCAGATGTGGGGTTGGGGAATATCTTTTCCCATTCTGTAGGCTGCTATTTTGTCTTATTGACACTTTACCCTACAGAAGTTTCTCAGTGTCAGGAGGTCCCATTTATTAATTGTCAATTTCAGTGTCTGTGCTACTAGTATTATATTCAGGAAGTGGTCTTCTCAGATATTATTAAGGACCAGTCTTATTAATCTTCTTCCCAGGGGCCCAGAAGAGAAGCTACAAATGGTGAGAATTATTTTTTGGGAAAAGAATCTAAGTACACCAAGCTCTTTTGTCCATCTATTTTATTTCTCTGGGATAAAATTCTATCTACATATCTCTCTCTACATTATCTGCTGTCCCCTCTAAGTTCTATCTTAATTCTCTCATCATAGTTCTGTCCCATCTTGGTCTTCCTCATCTCATCCTTACCCCATCTCATTCTTCCCCATCTGGCTGTTCCTCATCTTCCATCTCATTCTTCTAGTTCTCCATCTAGTTCTCCAGTAAAAATCCTCTCCACTCAAAGTCCTCAAAATCCCCTCTATGTCTCTGAGATTTACAGGTATATACCCATGCAATAGCCATGCTCTAACTAAAGCAAGGTCACCAGGCTTGAATTCTTACAGGGTCATAAAGGCAGACAAGAGTTTTCCTTAGGCAGTGACTGTCAGGCTTTTTTTTACAACTCAAAAGGGGAGTAGTTAAAGGAGGAGGTCGACTGAGAGCTAAGATTGGTTAACATATCAAAAAGGGAATTTATGTGCTCAATCTACATTTCTAGAGGTGGTTAGGTAAGTGTTAGGAGTCTATAATGTTAGTATAAATACCACTAAGGCTGTATAAGAAGGGAGGGTCTGAGCTTAATTTACCTTAATTCAGGAGATTGCTTGGCCTTGGATGCTTGAAAGGTATTTCAGATAAAATACACTGTTATGAGTTCTTGGAAGCATATATAGCATACAAGGAAATCATTGCAGGAATTGGCTAATATATATACAAAAGCTAAAATATCACCAAGACTTCTTAAGCCATGGCTTGACCTTCAGAAAAGTCCTTGACTATTCCAAGTAGTAGCTTTTGTGATAATAGCTGAATTCCATTACATTTTCCTGCAGCTTGCAGCATAGTCTACTATGCCAATGTGTTCAAGGCTACTTCCCTCTTTCTCTTCTATCAGTTTCAGTGTAACTTAATTTATGTTGGTTTTTGATCCACTTTGATTTGAGTTGTGTGAATGGTGATAGATAGGGATCTATTTGCATTCTTCTATATGTTGTCATTCAGTTATGCCAGCACCATTTGTCGAAGATGCTT